CCCCCCCCCCCCCCCCCGGTTCACTTTGGGCCGATAAAGGGCCGATGTAAGCATTTGAAAGAACATGAGGGAATTGAATCACGTTACAAAAAATAAAAAAATAAATAAGTAAAAATAGATACATAAAAAAAATAAATAAGTAAAAATAGATACATAAAAAAAATAAATAAGTAAAAATAGATACATAAAAAAAATAAATAAGTAAAAAAAATAGATAAGTAAAAAAAATAAATAAGTAAAACAAATAAATAAGTAAAAAAAGTAAATAAGTAAAAAAATAGATAAGTAAAAAAATAGATAAGTAAAAAAAATAAATAAAATAGATAAATAAAAAAAAATACCTACCTAAGTAAAAAAGAAAAAAATAAAAAGAAATAAAAAATAAAATTTCCCACCACTAGAAAATATCGTACTTTAGTCTGCAGGCAATTCTGGGACAACTCTGGAACACTTTAAAATTACTATAGTGGGCACTGCAGTACAATCGGCCCCTGGGTGCAAGTTCTCCTACTCTGGGAAGCTAAATGGTGCAACTATTCCCCCATGGTGCAACGACTCCGTCATGGTGCAACGACGCTTACTCCATGTGCGCTCAAGTTGCAATAACTCTTACTTGAGGAATATATATATATATATATCTTCAGGATCGATGCTCTTTGAGCGAAAATTCTCGAAAATTACGAGGTCGTACCGTCTGCAATAGGTAGATATTTCTTCGAAATCTACCTAAAAAGTGAATTTTTTGGAAATATATGTAATTTCTGAACTCAGCTACCCTCAAGAGTCCTTGAAGACTTATATTGGACGGTTTAAACGTTCAATCTAATTTATTAACACCCAGATCCTGCTTTTTGGCGCTCAGAAATTGGTCGGGGCGCGGTGGGCGGAAACTTTAATCGCTCATAACTCTGGAACCGTTTGATTTTTCAGCTGAATGAACCATTTGTTGGATGCGGAAAAAGGCGAACATTTTAAAAAACTGGTGTTGGTTCAAATGAAAAATTAAGATCTTTGTGTATCCTTTGTTTAAAAGAAATTTTCTAGACTCAAAAACTGGAAAAGGCGCGTACGTTAACTTGAAAATGTGATTTCGGGATTTTGATCTTTAAACTCTTTAAGTGTAAAATTTTCGACGATTATTTGCCCAAACCGGACCTCGATATCTTTCTTTGTTCGAGAGATATCGAAGTTCATAGGTTTTGACTTCCACCCCCCCACCCCCCCCCAGGGCCCCCCAAAATTTGTTGGAGATCTGATAATTTGGGAAAAGAAGCGCTCAAGTATTAGTAATCAATAGACAAAGTTTATAGAAATTCCAGAGGGGGAGGGGTGGGCGAAAAAAGTTGTTTTTGCATCAAGCTCTTTTTTTGAAAACATGTGATAGGTACAATTGTCTACAAACCGTTTATAGAAGGTTACATTGCATTTAAGTGAGGCCAATATCTTTTCCTCTATATATTCCATTACCAAATTTGCTATCATGGCTGAAACAGGTCCTTCCATCGCAACATGTGATAAATGTGATGTGTATAAAGCCTGCCTGAGGATGTCCCCCATATGGAACGAAACGTCGCAGAAAGGAATGAATTACTATTTTGCTGCAAGCTGAAAATTAGGTGAATTTTTATTTATTTATTTATTTATTTATTTATTTATTTATTTATTTATTTATTTATTTATTTATTTATTTATTTATTTATTTATTTATTTATTTATTTATTTATTTATTTATTTATCTGAGTTTCAGAGTCATCAAACGTCTCCTATACTAGACCGCAATTAAACTATTATTATTGCCTTGAATTTTGTACACCTAGTTTCAATTAATTTTCTGTTCTTAACTTGCAGGTCCTCAAAGATGCATTGTTTGAGAATCAAACAGTGGAGGACTTCGAAGCATCGTCCGGGCCCAAAGCCAATGCCACTATTTTCCTGGACAAATTGTCTCGTAAACTGTGTCCAGAACTCGAGCAGTTTGTAATTTTCTCATCAGTGAGCTGCGGTCGAGGTAATGCTGGACAGACTAATTATGGACTATCCAATTCAGTCATGGAGCGGATTTGTGAGATGCGACATGCTGAGAGTTTGCCTGCCCTTGCAGTTGAGTGGGGAGCTGTTGGTGAAGTAGGACTTGTGGCAGACATGGCTGAAGATAATTTAGAAGTTATAATCGGTGAGAAGTCATAAACTAAGTAACAATTGATATTCTATGGTACTTAGTTGTTATTATTTTATAAAATGAGCCGTACTATTTAGGAAGATTTTTATTTTAATAGTTTTAGAAGTTATCAAAGTCCTCTTACCTCACCTAAAACCAATTTATTTGTGTATTTTTAAACGCCATACAGCCAGATGGAACTTTAATTACCTAAAATTTGTAACTCAACTCGTGACCCACCATAATGACATCTGAATTAAATAATTGCAGCTACATGAGCACAAAGAGCTGTCGCAGATATAAGTAAATTTTACATTTTCGATCAGTGGAATGAGATAACAATTTCAGATTACCTGTAGACAACAAATTACTTACCACAGAATAATTCAAAGTAAGCTTGAAAGTAAAGTTTTGAACCCAAACTCTTGATTAAAAATCTAAAGGAAGGCAATTAGACAACTCGATCAAAATTTTGGAAAGAGCTCCAAACTGAGACTGAGAACACTTCGACACTTTGACAAAGAAATCTGTACTCTGTGTCGAAATGAAAATAAGACTTCGGATTCCTTTGGTAAACCACATATGAAAGGATACCCAGCAGCACAATAATGCACTGTAACTTTTATTGACAAGGTTAAGGACACAGTGAAATCCAAATGATTAGGAATACTTATAGCCTTTGAATCAAAGTGGCACAACAGTTAATGTCCAGGCCATTTTGTTGAAATTCTGTTTCTATCAGTGACAGAAATTGGAAGCAGATTTGATTTGATTTTCCTGCCCTCGTAAGAAAGAAAAGGGCATCTCTAGGTATCATTAACTTCTATTTCGCCAATTCAATTAAGTACGAACATTGTTTTGCCATTGTTTTTCGTTTTTCCCTCAATGAATAGGTACCTATTTTTATACTATGAAATTTGATTGAACTAATTCATCTTTACTATAATTGATTGTGTTTGTTTCTCAGGAGGGACACTACAACAGCGAATCTCCTCTTGTCTAGAAGTGCTAGATACATTTTTGCGACAAAACCATCCTATCGTTGCCAGCATGGTTGTCGCAGAAAAAAGAGCCGGTGGTGGTGGGGCTGGGAACATTGTGGACGCTGTTGTCAATATTCTTGGTACGTTTTTTTCAAGAATTACGTTTTGAGAATTGACTAGCACATATGATTAAGAGCACATACTTGTTTGGTGCGGAATTTTCAGTAAAATTTTTAAAATTCTAAAATCCAAATCGAACGTTGTCACACCGTTCAATCTGATTCAATTGATTTCAGTGAAGCTTGGTTTCAGAGGTATTTGTTAATGGCAAATTCCATTTTTAGTTGAATTTTTGCCATCGAAAATCCAAGGTGGTTGATATGGCTTAAAACCCTGCCTCAGCTCCTGTTTAATCGATTCTACTGAATCTTATCGGCAGGGGGTATTTCTTGACGAGAAACTCGACTTTTCAGTTCAATTCCCAAAATCCCAGAATTCTAAATGAGGTATGTTGTCAAAAATCCTACCCAGGCGCCAATTCAATTTTGGGTGCAGGTTAGTACACGGTGTCCCAGAGCACCCGTACCAGGCCTTTTTCTCGGTTGATTTATGTCGGACGAAGTCCGAGACCGTGAGGGTAAATAGGGTATTGACCCCAAGGAATCCGAATTTCATGGTCTCGAAAACCTCCCAGCGCCCCTTGGGGGGTAAAAGGGGGGTCACGATCCTAAAAGTCTGTGTTTTCGATCAAATTCCGATTCGATTTCATTAGAATTGAAAATTACGGTAAAAACGTGAAATCGACCCCTAAAAATCCATATTCGAACCACTTTACGCCTAAAAACGATCCCTTAAAAAGGGGGACTGCGGCCCCCTCAATAATTTCCTATTGGTCAAAAGTTGACGCAGATTCTCCAGAAAAAGATGGTTTCCCAAGTAATTGACCCCAAGGAATCCGATTTTCATGGTCCCGAAACCCCCCTATCCTCCCTTGGGGTGTAAAATGGAGGACACCATTTCCCCCGACTTTTGAAATTTTGCCTTCATTTCTTCCCCATCATCTTCCCCAAAATTACACAGGAATCGATACTCCTAACTCGCTTTCTTAAGTAAAAATCTAAAAAATGTACCTTCCTGCCTCTCAAATTTAGCCACCGCATCTTGGATTCAGAGCACCCCCTTTGACCGGGGCGCTGTTTTGACATCATTAATGGAATCCACACCACACCAAAAATTACATAAGAAATGATACCTCACTGCCCAAAATCACGTAAAAATCGAAAAATGGCCCATCCGCCTTTCAAAGTTGGCCGCCATCTTAAATTTGGGGTACCAGCTTTGACCCGGGGGCTTTTTTGACTTCATACTCGTATATGAAATTTGCGACCAAAATTACATAGGAAATGATTCCCCACATGACACTATAGGAACATTTAGAATACCGAAATCCTAAATCAACGGCCTCATTTTGTACGCCATTTTGAATTTTCGGCATGGGAGGGAGTTCCGGGGTCAGGCCGTAGTAGACTTTTAGAATGTTGTTCAGGAGTACCTACTGATGACGTTTACGTAGGAAGAGTTTCTTATTAGTCCAGTAAACGAAGGCATATAGGATACGTCTCCGGCCGAAAACGAACATACGGCTGGATTTAGGCCCAATCGATTCTTCCTATGAAAAGGAGTTTTTAGCCAAAAGTCCCCATGAGTCCCCTTAGGGAACTGCGCACAGTGGTCCGATGAAGTTGAAAATTGGACATGTTTTCAAAAATTCACCACGAAGCGAGAAATGGACCTAGAGAGTTCAATTGTTTTTAAACTGTAGGTAATTGAGTCTTCTTTCCGAATAAACTATAGTTTTGAATGTCAAAGTAATTTAAATATGAGTAAAATGGAAAGAAATTGAAAATTGAGAATTATTGACCGGCATTTTCTGTATTTACGTCCTTATGAAGACCCGGATCGAAAAATACCCTCAGTAAAAGTTGTAGATCGTTCTTTAAGCGTTGATTTGGTATATTACATCATAGGTTTATCTTTAAAATTGAGGGAGCAAAAGCGCAAAAACGGAGCGGGTCGGCGCGCGGCCGCCTATGTTTTGAATTGTAAACTGGCGATTTTAGGTGGCGGATGATGGCAGTGATGGTTAATACACCTCTGCTCGTCTATTTACGACCAAAATCAATCATTTCCATTATAAAGGCTCTTTCCTAAAGCGCCATAGTTGCTAGTTTTCACTTTATTATTAAACGTCCACTAATTTGTTCTGGTAGCGATTCAAGTGATACCTACGGCTTTTTGGACTACATTTTAAAACTCCACCCCTTGTAAAGCAACAGTGCAACTACTTTTCAATCCCCTTTAGAATCAATTAACTGCCCTGATCCCCCCCCCC